TTTCTTTAATGTCGAAACGTTGTACATTTGCTGTCATGTTAAACTTATATTAAAGTTTTTCTTCATTACCCATTTAAGCCGTCTTCAGCCATTATTAATCTCAAAGTGGGTTCCTCGTCATCGAATTTATATTCAACTTTAGTCCCCAAGTGGCACAGCCGTGTGTCTGCGGACTTAGAACGCTAGAAATCGGGTTTCAATACCCGTGGTGGGCAGAGCACAGATAGTCCGTTGTGTAGCTTTGTGCTTAACTTCAAACAAACAAACATAATTGTACTTTAACGGTACGTTTGTTTACAAAGATATCGTTGAATGTTTGTAAATATTATACCAATTAAATCTGCACTGATTCTAAAACATATATCTCATTTACTACGTGTGCCATTTGTGTTTAAAATATCGTTGTTGTTTTCTTTTTACTGTTTTTCCATGCAAATACGAAGTATGTTACACAAAAGTCCATAATATTGTAACTTTATAGTTTGTACGGGCAAAATATCCTCAGCCGACTTGGTTTCATACAGTTCACTGCCGGTGGGATCCACATATTGAATAATTTTACGTTTATGGTTTTTTCAACACTCAATGTTTAAAGAAACTAACCAAAGACATCGGATAAAATTATCATTTTTTTATGTAAAATACACAAGGACACCCCAGGTGTAATTAGTGGCATTAATTTCAGTATTGACGTTACTTTTGTTTTTGTATTACTAATATTTTAAGTACGGTAGTACTTAATAATAGGGATCGACAAGGATTTCAAATAATTCACACACCGAAAAACTACTCTAACGAGTTCCTAGGCGAAAACCGACCATTCAAACTATTGGTTACAGTATAGTATGCGCATATATATACTAATAATGCGGTAAAAGGGTCACTAACATTTCCGGTATAACAACTCAAGAATTTCTTAAACAACAACTTTTTCGTCTACTACCTACCTACCTACCTGATCACTTCAGCGGAGCTAGCGCCTAAACAGCTCAGTCTATCGCTTACAAAAATTTTCTAGCTTACTTGAATGGTTTGTGGTTATTCGCTTTTGATATTCCGACATATATATATATATATATGTATAATATAAATGGTAAACATATCAATAGCTAAAATATCTTTTCAACTCAATTCAACCCAATGGATGGCGCTACATATCGATGGATGGAGACGCGACAGTTTCTAAAGGTAAAGTATATACTTTATGCAGGTATAAAAAACAACAACAAGAGTATTAAAAATTATGAATTTTAAAATGAAGTGGGGATCCTGCTACAAAAAGTAATGAAACAAGAACTAAAACCACAATAATAAATTTATAAAATTTAATCCCTACTTCAGCAGCTTTATACACTTATCTGTAGGCCAAAGTAAGGATTACATTTTATAAATTTGTGATTTTAATTCTTGTAAAGTTATAGCTATCAGGGATATGTCTATACTGAATTTTCAATCCCTACTTTGTTTAGCAAATTTAGACTACTTCATTTATCTATACGGATCACAATGTCAACCAAAGTAGGGATTGAAAATCGTTTTAAAATTTATCCAGTTTGTATCACTTTACTTGTTTGTGTACTTTTCATTGCAGCATTTATTTTGTTTTGGATACTTCTTATAACAA